TCCTCGAATGTTTAATTACGGTACGGGAGTTCCAGCAATTTGCCTTAAGGCACGATGCCATATACCCCTAGTTTTACCTTATTCCACTGTGTGCTGAATCACTAACACCGGCTCCATATTGAAGTAGCAATTTTGCAATATCCAGATGCCCTCTCGAACAAGCCTCATGCAAAGGAGTGTATCCGGCATTATCTCTCGGTGAAGGATTTGATGCCAACGTTTCCAAGCAATAAGCAGTCACATCCTGATAGGAATACAAGTGATTAATACATTAATACCTAATGACGATAGAGATAAATTAATATTCTCTACTTACCGTGTAGCCCAGTCGAGCAGCTCTATGCAAATGAGTCTCTCCAACCCCTTTATTCAAAACCCATCCTTTGATCTCCTTTTGGATATCATTAACAGATTCCAGATTCGGTCGATTGTTAAGCCAACTTTTTCTTTTAACCTTGGCAGTGTTGTTATTGTTGCAACTGGTTGCTTCCATCTGCGTCCAGACTTTTAGTGTCATCGTCTTTAACCTTGATAATTTTCTTTTCTTTTCTTATATAATCGAACCCGGAGCTGAACTTCCTGCGCATGGATCGCCACTTCAGTTTCTTCTTTATAGGACCCACGAGTTTTTTATCGTCTTCAGGTTTGATAACTATAATGTCTTTTTCTGGTTCTTCGACGTCTTTCTCTTTTTTGATGGATATATTTGTGATAGTCGTAGCAGTTTTTGCTCTCTTCCTCGGAGTCCTCGTTTCTTCTGCTCATCGGAGGCGCCGATGCGGGCCTGTCTTCTCCAAAAACTTCACGTATCGTAGCCCTTTGTCTCATGACTCTGGTTTCAGTTCGAGTCCTGGATTTGAAAACTGTAGGATTAAATTCTTCAGTAGCTCCCAACTTGCCTCCAGTGTTGTTCAAAAAGGCATCTCGGAAATTAGTGATTGTTTGTTTCCTAAAGTCTAACGTAGAGTCTTCTGTTTTCCCATTGGGCACAGGCGTTGGCAACAATTCAAATTCCTTACCAGTTTTGGGAATAACTTTAGGCAAAACACTCTCATCCAGTTTATTATCATTTTTACCCTTTCGTTTGGTTTTCGACTTTGTACCATACTTCTGCATCAAAACATCAACTATGGAATTATTATTTTCTTTAGCGCGCATTTGATTCATTTTACTTGCCCGAAGAGTATATCGTCGAAGACGATGCTTCAGAAATCGCACAATTAAAACTAGAATTCGAGTCCTGATCGCTTTCTTCCAACCGTTTAACGCGAACTTCGGCCTTTTTGCACTCGTTTATGTCGACAATTGAAGATGGTGTTGGTGAATTTGGACAAGGATCTGATCTGGTAAGGATGTCGACAGTCTAGGCCAATGAGGAAGCCTAGTGACTGATATCAAACTGGCAGGCATTCGTAAAGACTGTTTGGATTTATACACACCTTCCTCCCAACCGGGGTAAAAATCAGAGCCATCGCCGTAACGTATTTTTTGTGGTTTTGCATCGGCGGATGCATTTTTCGACGGACTGCCTTGAGATTTAGTCGGACTTTTAGTTTTGGTTTCTTTAGCTTTTGTCTCCTTTGACGGTGTTTTATCCTTATTTGCACTTACACCTTTCTTTGCTTCATTCAATTGTTTCCTGGTACGCAAACGTGTAACCTTCGTTTTTGCGGACTTTTCGACATCACTGTCTTCGCCATCGCTGCTACTTGTGTCTATTTTCCTCGTCGTAACGCGTTTTGGATCCTTTTTACTTTTATCATCACCCGATATCGAATTTTTAACTTTAATTAAAGGCACATCTGAATCGTCGCTGTCTGTATCTAATTTATCTGTAACGGGTTTCCTGATAAGTGTGTTAACAGGAATGTCGTCTTCATCCAAAGGTTCGATCTTTAGTTGCACATTCAACAGCTCGTAGCATTTGTTTTCTGTTTTAACAATATTCACCAAGTCAGCAGTTTCATCCAAGGGCTCGACCTTAATCGCTGATAAAGGTTTCTCCATGCTAACAGTTTCCACGGTGACTTTTGTAACAGGTTGTGCTTGATCGATTTTCTTTTTGCGTCCCCGTCGTTTTTTGGCGCCTGTAACCAACTCTTCGACAAACTGATCGCAGATGTTGCCCCAAATGTCATCGCCGTCGAGCTTTTCGGTTTTGATAATGGACAACTTTTCTTCCATCAACTCAGGATTTGAGGGTTCTGGAGGTTTGATTAAGGTTGTTCCGTTGCATAAAGAACTTCTCCTGTCCTTTCTCAAATCGGGTAAATCTGTTTCGGAGCCGCTATCTCTAAAATCGTATACGGAAGTTTCGGAGGAACTTCTTAGTTTTTCGTCCTTGGACGGAATTTGCGCCGGCTTCTTCAATGTTTCAGCCGGCTCTATTATTATGCAATCATCATCTATTTCGGTTCGGCTAAAAACACGCTTTCGGGGCACGACGGCGACTTGTTTTACTTCGGAGGAGCTTTTGGCTTGTTGCGTGAAACCTTTCAACTCGGCTTTGGTGCGTATACGAGCGGCCAAAAGGGCGGCGATGCCGCTGTCCTCATTTTGAGGCTTCGTTTTTGTTTGGTGTATCATATTTTGTTGGTGTTGATTCTCGTCGACTTCGAATTTAATCGAGTCCACGGCTCTTGGCATTTGCAGTTTATAAGTCGACTTTGTATTGTCCAATTGCTGCTGTTGGAGTTGTAATTTCTCTTGCTGCTGCAGCAGCTTGTTGCTTTCTATGGCTCTCAATTCTTTGTCCAATCGTGCACGTTCGGCCTCTTTGCTCTCAAGACTACTCCTCAACAAATCCAAAATCCTTTTGTCCGCCCCTTGCTGTTGTTGTAATAATTTTCCAGGTGTAGGCTGTTGCTGTTGTGGGGACTGTTTTGGTGGAATATTATTTTGTTGCAATAATGGTGTAAGAGCGTAGTTCATATAACGATCTTCGTCGACATTGTACACACTAGAAGTAGGTGGTAATCTGTAGTGTGCATAATCCGGATGCTGCTGAGGGTTACTACTAATCACATGTGTCGGCTGCCTCTGAGGCTGTCTATTGTTGACAACCGGTTGACTCTCAATTTTTGGGATTTTTCCAGGTTGTTGATGCACTTGCGCAGTTTCAATAACCGGTAATCTTTTTCTATGCTGACTAAAGTTATGCTGCTGATTCAAATTATGCTGTTCATGGTGAGTGGCAGGAGCAGTACTACTATACTGTTGTCTGGCAGAATGCTGATTTGGTTGTTGAATATGTTGTTGTTGCAAAGGTTGTCTCACAAACTGTTGATTCTGCTGCGGCAACCTACTCGAACTTGCATATTCTGAATGTTTTAACGTGGACACATTGAATTTTGGTAAAAAATCAACTTTGTGCGACGCAGGATTCATCATCGGCACCTGCTGAGGCACTTGAGTCGCCGTCGGCAATCTCTGGGAAACTGGAAGCCTAGGCACATACTTTTTGTATGCATCTACAGAAGCATTCTGCTGAAGTTGAAAGTATTGCTGATGATCACTGTTGTTGCTGTTTGAATCGTCTTTAGCTGTTGAATCGGCTGACGTCCGAACAGTTTTTACAGACAAATCTAAAGGTGACTCTCTCTTATTTGCCATTGCTATTGTGTTGCTGGTGACACTATTGCATTTCAAAAGGGCTCCGTGCTGTTGCGGATTGACTTGTTGTTGCTGTTGATTGACAATGACCCTTTGCTGTTGATTTTGTTGCAGGGTTGGAGTGCTAAATCTAGGCACACCCTGTGGAACAGGTAGGGTAGATACGTGTTGCTGTTGCACAGGCGTAGTAGGCCTACTTCGGTTCATCATTGTTTTGGGTTTTCTACCTGGTTGTTGTTGTTGATATAACTGCTGTTGTTGTGAAGGTTGTTGTTGTGGATATTTAGCAAAAGCACCACTTTGTCCAGGCTGGTTGACGACAACTTTCTGCGGTTGCTGAGGATAACTTCCAACACTAGGATAAACAGTTTTGACTCCTGTAACTTTATTACCTTGAACCGGTTGTTGTTGTTGTTGTTGATATTGGTATTGTTGAGGCGTCAACTGCTGCTGATGATGATAAGACGTTGGTTGTTGTTGGTTCACTCGATGTTCTTGTGCTTTCGTTTTGTATTGTTGATACTGCGTAATTTGTTCAGGTGTTTTTGTTTTATACGTAGGTTGCTGCTGTTGATGTTGATATTGTGGTTGCTGCACTGATTGCTCTAATGTTTTAGTCTTATACACTACCTGTCCTGTACCATGATATTGTGTCGTCCGTTGTGGTTGGGGCTGCTTCAACTGCTCCGGCGTTTTAGTTTTATATCCCTGATGATATTGGACTGTGGGGGGTTCGACAATTTTTGTTTTGTAAGAAGCTTGTTGATACTGATATTGTGACTGCTGCTGATCTGGAGTCTTTGCTCTGTATTGCGGTTGCTGCATTTTATATTGCTGTTGTTGTTGTTGTTGCTGTTGATGTTGCTGTTGAAGATTGTTGTATGAAGTTTGAGATTGTGGCGGAGCATATCTTGGCTGGGGTTGACCCGTAATAGACTTCTGATGGTTGTAATGAGATGGAACCATCGACGTCGGTGGTTGCTGAGCCTGCTGTGGAGGGTAGGCCGCCCTAAAATGTAAAATACACTTGTAATAAATGAATAAAAAATATATAATAGATAATTTGTTCCATAATCACGCTCGCATGTTGAAATGCCATTCACTCGTTTCAGGATTCGTTTTTTTTAATAATAAAAAGAAATGAAACATTTATTGCTAAAATCAAATATATTATCAAAAAATATAGTGAATTATTGAATAAAAGATAACTATATTACTATATTAGTTCTTTAAAAGAATATCCTGATCAAATTTACTACTCGCACACTTTTTCAATTTATTCACTAAAATAAATAATATCAATTTGTATGAATTGTTTTATATGACAAACAAAAATGATGAGAGCACGTGACAGATTTTCAAAAGATTTTTGAGCCTCTTTAAAGGATTTTTGAACATTGCACTACATGGAATGTTACTCCTTATATGTTTTCCGTTGAACAAAGTAATCAAATATAGAAGAATATGTGACGTCACATATCTGAGCAATCATTGCCGACGACAATCGCGGACTCTCCCAATTTATCACATGTCATATGTCATATGATACGTGCCTAACATAGGCATTCCAATATTAATTTTTTGTCTAGAGCTGACAAAACTCATCGAGAGCTGGCAAAAATTATCTAAAGTTGACAAAAATCGTCTATAGTTGACAAAAGTTATCTAAAGTCCACAAAAATTGTCTAGAATTGGTCAAAACTTGTCTAGAATTGGTCAAAACTTGTCCAAAATTCGCCAAAACTGTATGGAGTTAGCAAAAATCGTCTAAAGTTGGCAAAGATCGTCTAGAGCTGACAAAAATCGTGTAAAGTTGACAAAAATCGTTTATAGTTGGCAAAACTTGTCCAAAGTTGGCCAAAACTGTATGAAGTTAGCAAAAATCGTCTAAAGTTGGCAAAGATCGTCTAGAGCTGACAAAAATCGTGTAAATTTGACAAAAATCATCTATAGTTGGTAAAAAAGTCTAGAGTTAGCTAAACTCGTCTAGAATTAGTCAAAACTTGTCTAAAGTTGGCCAAAACTTGTCCAAAGTTGGCCAAAACTGTATGAAGTTAGCAAAAATCGTCTAGAGCTGACAAAAATCGTGTAAATTTGACAAAAATCATCTAAAGTCGACAAAAGTTGTCTATAGTTGGCAAAAAATGTCTAGAGTTGGCTAAACTTGTCTAGAATTGGTTAAAACTTGTCCAAAGTTGGCCAAAACTTGTCTAACGTTGGCCAAAACTGTATGAAGTTAGCAAAAATCGTCTAAAGTTGTCAAAGATCGTCTAGAGCTGACAAAAATCGTGTAAATTTGACAAAAATCGCCTATAGTTAGCAAAAATTGTCTAGAGTTGGCTAAACTTGTCTAGAATTGGCGAAAACTTTTCTAAAGTTGGCCAAAACTTGTCCAGAGTTGGCCAAAACTTATCAAACATTGGCCAAAACTGTATGAAGTTAACAAAAATCGTCTCTAGTTGGCAAAAATCGTCTAGAGTTGGCTAAACTTGTCTAGAATTAGTCAAAACTTGTCCAAAGTTGGCCAAAATTGTATGAAATTGGCAAAGATCGTCTAGAGCTGACAAAAATCGTGTAAATTTGACAAAAATCGCCTATAGTTAGCAAAAATTGTCTAGAGTTGGCTAAACTTGTCTAGAATTGGTCAAAACTTGTCCAAAGTTGGCCAAAACTTGTCTCACTTTGGCCAAAACTTATGAAGTCAGCAAAAAGTTGTCAAAAATCGTCTAGAGCTGACAAAAATCGTGTAAATTTGGCAAAAATCGTCTAGAGTTGGCTAAACTTGTCTAGAATTGGCCAAAACTTGTCTAACTTTGGCCAAAACAGTATGAAGTTAGCAAAAATCGTCTAAAGTTGGCAAAGATCGTCTAAATTTGGCAAAAATCGTCTAGAGCTGACAAAAATCGTGTAAATTTGACAAAAAATCGTCTAAAATTAGCAAAAATCGATTTTAAAAGGTGGATTTGATTTTATATACATTTATTTCAGAGGGGAAATATTATTAATATCATTTATTACAAAAATATCAGCCATCACAATGACATTAAATTATTAAAATAAAACATATGACATATGATCGGGAGAGTCCGCGATTGTCGTCGGCAATGTTCGCATGGGCATGTGACGTCACATATCATTCAATGTTTAATATAAGGTGATATCAAGTTTATCCGCCCTTCCCCCACAAAAACATCACGTATATTATGAGTTACGAAAAAAAAATATTTTTTGAAAATATTTAGATTTTTTTAAGTTCAGGTAAAAAATAAGTACACGTGATATCTTACTATACCACATGATATTTCGGGGTGATTTTTCGTGCAGGGTACCACTGTATTATATATCCAATATCAATAAGTTTAACTAAACTTTATCACTTACCTCGAAACATTATTCGTAGAGGAACCAATCACAGTGTTCTGCGAATGCATACTCCTAGGGGTGCTCCTGTCCGACTCCAAAGACGCAGGCCTTGCCAACTGCTCCACATGTAATTCAGTCGCCACTCCGCCACTGGAAGGAGCCTTTCTTATCACCATAGGCTGATTTACACCACTAATTTGCCCTTCGGCAAATCTTTGAGGTTGAGGGTTCAAGGTAGAAAATTGACGTTGCTGATCAAGGGATGGATGATCAGAAGGTTTTTGTGAATAATTAACTTGTTCTTGAGGATCCAAATAATACGTATGAGAATTATTTACTAATTCCGGTGTTCTCTGAGAACGATTTATATTGGTCATTGGTAATCGATTCATAGCCGTGCCCTGGGCATTATGATGATTTTCCGCAACCATTCGCTGGGGTTGTCCCATTACAGTTTGTTCTTTGTAGTTTGTACGCAATTGAGAATTATTTATACTTGTCGGAATATAGTTTGTGTTAACATTTTGTGAAGGACTGATCGTGGTAGGACCAGGCCTTACCAAATTATGAGGACTTTGCGAAGTACTACCGTGCAAATTGGTAACTTGTTGGTTGTAGTGTGAGTCAATTGTTCGATGTGGCGATTGATCCAACCGACCTTTTGAAACTTGAACATTACCACTCAAAACACGATTTGAAGCTGATGATGTGTTGACACTACTAATTTGTTGCTGATAGTGCATTTGGGGATATTGTTGTCCGACCGGAGACGGAGACGGGTTCATTCTGTTCGTTTGCGGGTAATCTAGCCTTGCCATCTGTTGAGTATTCGAAGTACTCGATCTACTCCCATGGGGGGCACCCATGTGAGAATTACTATTGACAGGCGAGTGATCCACTCTGTGCACATTTCCATATGTATTATTCATTTGAGGATGATTTATTGCACTTCTTGCAGTCATGTTATCTATTCGACTGACATGGTGAGTTTGATTGAATCCACTGGGTTGTGAAGTGTTAGGAGCAGGAGAACGATCAACTCGATGAGCGTAATTTGCACCAGTTTGGGAAACAGGAATCTGGGGATTATGATGATAATTGTTTCCTATATGATGGTAATTATTTGCACTAGGTTGATCAGTCCTATGTTGTACGGTTTGAGAATTGTATTCAACATGTCTAAGTTGACTGCCTTGAACAACAGTTTGGTTTTGATGCACATTTATCTGAGTTCTGTTGTTGGTCGCCGGACTTACATTGTTACGATTAATATTTGTTACCCCTGTAAGTTGTTGTGGTTCATTCATATAGTTAGAATGTTGCCTTGGTTGAGGTGTACTTTGTTGTCCTTGGTTTGGGTACGATAACGAAAGCGGAGATTTTGTGTAAGAATGTTGAATTATGTTGCTGTTATACATTATCTGCTGCTGCTTATCATTCATATCTGGTTGTTGAATATTTGTTCTGTTAATTTGTTGCTGTGGCTTATTCACCGGATACATATTCTGAGAGTACTTCTGTTGTGTATTATTTGTTGGCTGGGCGTACAGCATTTTATTTTGCTGTTCTGCATTCATACTAGCAATAGCTTCATAAGGCCTCTTCAAAGAAGTCATAGGAGCACTATAAGATGAAGTTACAGGCGTCAAATTATTATATGAAGCAGATCTAACGACAGTCTCTTGGGGCAACGTGTACGTCCTTGGATTACTATTACTCCTATTTTGCATCAAGTGCAAATCGTGCTGAGGAGTTGGAGGTCTCCAAATCGTATGAGGTGTTGAAACTTTAGGTACCACTACATTGTTCTGTACTATTGAACCTTGGTTGTCGTAATTAGACACTGGTGTTTCGTCTATTACAAGTCTACATTCTGAGTCTGTGCTCATTTTACGAACTGGAGGATCAATTCCTCCACCATTCATCAATTCCGGTGACACAGGTTGTGGTAAGGCATTTTGCAAAACTTCTGGTATTTGTTCGATAGATCGTATGTCCTTCGTCGCACTATTATCAGTTGACACCAGAACATCTAATTTATTCGAACCACTTGAGTAATTGTTAGAAGGACTACTTACTACAGGACGTGAGCTATTTGTTTCTAAAGGAATATCACATTTTGTAACACTTTGTTGTAATGTACTTTGTTTTGTTCGATCGTTTTCACTATTATATTCACTTGAAACACTAACTAAAGGCGTCGTGAAACTACTCAAAGTACTTTGTTCACTTGATGCATCTTGAATTTTAATAGAAAGTTCTTTTGAATCCACGATGGTGGTGTCAACCCTTAAATTGCAATCATTAACTGGCGAAGTGCTGATTTCACTATTGCTTGGATTATTGCTATTTGTCGTCGTATTATTAATAGTACTTGCTGGTGCATTTTCATTTACCAAAGGGGTTGTAATAGGTGAAGCACTGCTAAATGTCGTCGTTGATAAAGAATTGAGAGATGCGACATTACTGGTTGTTATTATAGTATTGCTTGCATTATTGACCGTAGAAACTGCATTACTGATTACGGTAGTTGTTGTTACAACAGCATCAACACTACTCGTTTGGCTGGTACAACTACCAACCATATTATTAATACTAGTGCCGCCATTGTCACTTACAGAATTTTGGCTAGTTTGAGGGATTGAATTTACAAAATTGCTTGAGCAAGTCGTGACAGCAGTTGCAATGTTGATACTTGCTGCTGAAGGGCTATTTGATATTGGATTGCTGGTTGTTGTAGCAACATCATTGTTACTTGCAACAGACAATTCAGTGTTGGTTTCTAAAATTTTGCTGTTGCTTGTGGTCACATCATCAGTTGCTTGTGCAACTGGATCCTTCTCACCTTCCAGGCCATTTACACTAACAACTCTTGTATCATTTACCACTTGATCATTTATCCCTGTGTCATTTATTCCAATATCACTTACCACTGTATCATTTGCCCCTATATCATTTACCACTGTATCATTTTTATCCTTTCCCTCGTCCCCTGTCGATTTTTTTCCGGAGAAGTTGCCCGTGTTGCCGGATTTCTGGACAGCCTCGGTTGCCGGAGGACTTTCGCTCCCGTTGTTGTTGTTGCTGGTTGCAACTGTGGGTGTTCCAGCAACAATATCTAGAATGGTTGTTGTTGTTGTTGTTGCCAAAATTGCGGTGTTGACAGACGGCGGAGACCGCTGCAACGCACCGTTACAGACGCAAGGCTCCATCGCCTATTGTTTTATACATCTGTGGGGAGGAAAGGAAATAGATTATTTGAAAAAGTTGAATGAAACTAATTCAATATACATATTTAAAAAATAGACATTATATTGGACGATTTAAATTATATTAGACAACTAGTTGGAATTGGTATTTTGCCTTGAGGCAAGTTACATGAACTTCCCGATTTGCGTAAATAATCGACTTAATCCATGATAGATAAATTAATTTATGAGTAGTTAAAAGTATTCGAAGTGGATTTATTGAAAATCGAATACGTCAAGTCAACCCGGTCGGAGTGTTTTTTAAAAGCAAATTCTCAAAAATCAATAATTTTTATAATTGAGCCAGTTTTTGTAGGACTTTAATTGTTTATCATGTTAATGAACATGACCAAGTACTCTATCGTTATACCAAGTAAATCGTCTAATTTTAATTTTAACAAATGTCAAAACAACTACTCATTTTCTCAAACTTTGATAAATTTTTAAAATTAAATTATTTGTCGTAAGGCATTAATATTTCAGTAAGTTCTATAAGACCATGATATATCACCAAACAAAAGTTCCATGAAAATCGTAAGTTAATTACAAGAAAACGGCTCGGTAGATTTTCACCTAAAACTAATCAGTATCATTCCCAACTAATATCTTTCAATTGTGACAATTAAAAAAAATAGAAATTTGGAAAAAAGCTGCCTTCTTAAACTAAAAGTTTCTTCAAAAGCAAAATCTTCTTTGAATCATTCAAATCGGATGAATTGTTCTTTCAAAAACTACAATTTATTACATTTTTAGCTTCTTATTTCTGAAACGGCCGGACCTACCTTCGCAAAAAACTAATCAATTCTTCATTACATCAATACAATCAATCAATACAAGTGATTCAAAATGTTTTTTGAATCATTCATATTGGATGCTCCATTCTCACAAAATCCTAATTTTCATTTTTTGCACTCTTTGCTCCGTACCACCAAAATGGCTAGACCTGTCTTTGCCAAAAACTAATCAGCACGACTCTTTATTAATAAGAATCGAATTCTTTTTGAATCATTCGAATCGTTTGATCCGTGCTCCCAAAATTGTGGACAAAAAATATTATCCATGCAAACACACACACACACATAGGGGCCGTTCAAGTATTACGTAAGCACTATAGGGGGGCGGGGGGTTGTTGATTTGCTTATTTTGGGTTGACATGGGGGGCACGGGAGTCTGGATGATGATTACGTGATTACGTAACTATTTTTATTTTTTTACATTAATTGCAAAATGTTTACGTAAGCATGAGGGTAGGGGGTAAGAGCTTTGCTAACTTTTGCTAACAAGGGGGATTGGGGGTAGGGGGTAAAAAATTGTAATAAATCTGCTTACATAATACTTGAACTATTCCATATCAATTTTTTTAAGGCAGGCCAAAATGTTCAGAAACCCCTAAAACGTAAAGATTAGCAAAAATGTTCATTTTCGATTTTCGGCCCATTACTATAATTACCTTACGGGAAGTTAAAAAAACAATATTCATAAAAAAATTCTTACATATAAAAGAATGTAAAATTCAATGTAAAGATATAATAATATGTAACCCTTCTTTGTTTGTACCTTAGCCCAGAAACACACCTCGCTTTAACTAAAATCAATATCAGTAGAGTCTAAAAATACAAAAAAATGTAATTTAAACATTTTCGTCCTGCACCTGCATCTTGTTTACGTGTCCGACTCTGCTACAAGTGTCCTTTTGTATAAACATATAGATAAAACGAACGCATCAAACTAAATAAATAAATAAATAAATAACTGAAATACGAACTTGTCGTTGTCGTTGTCTTTTACAATGTACTATGTACTACTACTATGTACGACAAATACATAGAAGAATGAATTTCTATTTGTATATAATAGCTCTGTGCTCGCTCGTATAATTAATCTTGACCTATAAGCCAGATGTAGTACGACGACTACGACTACATACATGGAAAGTACTAACTAACTAATACAACGATAATAAAAGACATAGACGGAGAGCTGGCGGAATATTACTCATTACGATATTCAATCAAGTGGGAAAAACCATCAAGTTAGTATTTTTTTTTTATTTTTCATAGCAAGCTATACAAAGTATATTCAGCTACATATTGTTACAGTTATATATTGCTATCCTGCGATAGCACCTTCTTAGATGTCATATTATATTTTGTAGTAAATCATTGCAAATTCTTAGTATTCTTCTTCAAGTTAGTATATGATAGTTGCAGATAAAATTACAATCTGGTATATATTTTGTTAAATCATCTAACAGATTTCTATTACGACTAATGATGTTATAAGAACCGCCGTTAGACATTACTTCGTAGGGGGAGGATCTAGAATACTATGATTTTCTCTCTTAATTATACTTTCCTCGCTCTTCTTTATGAGTCCCTTATAAGTTTAAGCCCTTAGCCCATATAAGTTCAAGTTTAAATTATTTAATAATTATTTTTCCAAAAAGTTTTTTTCTTGCGCTTAAATTAACAAAATGTAACAGTACAATGACAATCCAAAAATGTATACTTTATATCTATAACTATTTTTTTAATAATTTATATAACCGTAGGGTAAGTTATTGTAATCGTCCAAAAATCAAAATTGAAAATTTTTACATTTCTTCACGTTTTGAAGGTTTCTGAAAATTTTGGCATACCTCAGAAAAAATGAATGTGTGTGTATGTATGGATACAATTTTTCTTCCACGCATGGATCAACCGATTTAAATGATTCAAAAAACATTTGATTCTAAATGATAGGGAGATGTGTTGATTACTTTTTGGCAAAGGTAGGTCTAGCCGTTACGGAGATACGGAGCAAAGAGTGCAGAAAATACAAATCGAGTTTTTGAGAGAAAGGAGCATTCGAATTGAATAATTCAAAAAACATTCAATTAGTAATGATTGGGAGAAGAGGTGATTAGTTTTTAGCAAAGGCTGGTCCAACCGTTACGGAGATACAGAGCTAAATGTGCAAAAAATAGCAGTTTTTGAGAGAACTAAGCATGCGATTTGTATGATATAAAAAAAACTTTCTGCTTGCGTTGATGAAACGATTGCTTTTTAGGAAAGATTTTTTTATTTCAATTTTTTTCTTTAATTTGGAAAAAAATTAATATAAAAAAAATTCGGATTTTAATCCTAATTCTAGCTAAAGGTCTAAACATCACTTATAATCTTCAAATAAATCATTTTAACTTTGCAATTTTTATAAATATTAGATAATGTCTTTCATTTTAAATCCGATTGATCAAGTTCTGTTTATTTACTTTTTATAAAATAAGAATAATGAAAGTTACATTATTTATAATAATTTATGTAAAAATATTTAATATTCCTCTAATATTTCATTAAGTTACGGGAAGTTCCGGCAATTTGCCTTAAGGCACGATGCCAAACACTACTAGTTTTATTACATTTTATGTGCATACTTATAACTGTTTTATTAATAATATGCCAAAATTATAATATAAATCGTACTTTATATACTTTTTATTAAGAACATTTAAAAAAAATTTGTGATTTTGTGAATACTTATTCCCATATTTATAAATATTTTTACTAAATTTTATAAAATTATAGTAAAACAGTATACATTTAGAATGTGAATTATTGAATAATTTCTTTACAATTCAGATTACCAGATTTATATTTATATTAGATTGTCAAATATCTCCCTTCCGCTTTTTAACTTCCCGTAGGGCAAGTTATAGTAATCGCAAAAAAATCAAAAATGAAAATTTTTATATATCTTTACGTTTCAGAGGTTTCTGAACATTTTGGCATACCTTAGAAAAAATGGATGTATGTGTGTGTGTGTGTGTATGTATGTGCGGATACAAATTTTCGTCGACGATTTCGGGAACACGAATCAACCGATTTGAATAATTTAAGAAACATTTGATTCGTATTGATAAGGAGACGTGCTGATTAGTTTTTGGCAAAGGTAGGTCTAGCCGTTCCGAAGATACGGGGCAAAAAGTGCCGAAAACGGTAACTCAGTTTTTAAGAGAACGGAGCGTCCGATTTGAATAATTCAAAAAAACATTTTATTTGTATTAACTAAATAAAGAACTGTTCAAAATTTTGGAAAGGTAGGTCCAACGACTTTGGAAATATGGAGGAAAAAGTAAAAAAATGAGCCATTTGGCGGTCAAAAATGATCATTAGACATATGCACATCAAATTATCAGATATTTTATAGAGATTTTAACAATAAGTATAATTTTGGTTCACCTTCCTATGGGTTCCGTACCAATGTTAACGCGTTAGACGGCGATGCGGCGCTGACGCGCTTTGATATTTCGTCTTTATGCAGTGAAAGCAGTACGATTGCTTTGAAAAAACCTTCAGAATTTCCAAAATTTGTCAAAATGAAGAAAACATTTTTCTTTCAAAAAAAATTTGTTTACAAAAAAAAAATTTTTTTTTTTAAAAAGTATTTTTTTGTCAAATTTATAGTTACTCAAAAATCTAGTTTTTTCGAAGTAAATTTCTTTCAAAAATGTTAATTGTTTTTAAAAAAAAATAATTTTTCGTACGGGAAGTTCCAGCAATTTGCCTTAAGGCACGATATCTTAATTGCCTTAAGACAGAATTCCACTTACAGCTAGTTTGCTCTTGGTTTATAATACAAAGGCAAGTTTATGTTTTCGCCAGAAAATCCTATTTGCTAATTTTATGTTTTCTCGACGAGAGATCAAACTTGGAAAAAGTATGTGCGTGTGTGATTGTACGTATCGGGAAGTTCAAGCAACTTACCATAAGGCAAATTTCACTTACAATTAGTCTTATTTTCTAGCATGCTTAATATACCGTGACTAAAATTTTGATCTGAAAAACAATGAAGTCGTCTTCTACTTATTGAAAATTGTTATTCTACAAACTTGCGTATGTTTTTGAATCATATAGAAAATATTCCGCTGGCTCTCCATCTGATATACATATATACACCACACACAAACACATATACACACACACACATATATATATATATATATATATATATATATATATATATAAATTTATATATATAAATATATGCATTTTGTTGAACTCGACTGATATAAGCATCGTGAGAGCAGCTGAGATAAGCGAATTGTAACACTTGCACAACTCTTTTATAGGCGACACACGCTAAAAGAATTCGACTTTTTTTATTCGAAATTTAATTATCCGATGAGAAATCAAAGTTTGAATTTAAAAAAAAAAAAAAAAAAAATTCTGTGGATGATACTTACATATAATGTCATTGAGTACTGCAGACGATGTCTTAGAACAGGATGGTCTGCTGCTCCAAATCGGAGAATTCTGGAACAAGATAAAAATTTCATTAGGAATCGCATAATATAATATAATATCTTATATATAGAAATGGAGCTCTCGATAAAATGATGCGCTAAAACTCGAAAACGGCTAAACCGAATTGGCCAGTCTTAGTCTTGAAAAATTCGTGCTAATCAGTAGGTGGTCGGAAAGGTAAGATATTATTTTAAAATCGCGTAAAAAATTTACATTTTTAATTTAAACATTTTTGTAGAAGCGAAATTTAAATGAAACAATGGACGGTGGCTAATACGTCAAAAGTCACACGTTTTTGACAGATGATGTTCAATTACGTTTAATAGGATGTTTTACGTGAATATTATTTAATTATTATTAAATTGTAGTAAGTAGTTTTGTTTGTAATTTTATTTATACACAAAAACGTTAGTAAACGGGCCGCTATTACTAGAAACTCAAAGTATCTACTTTTTTTAAATGTTAATATGAAAATGCACTTTTTGGCGCTGTAGCACCTTTTTTTGCAAATCATATTTTTCTCAAACACGGGGCTCTGAAAAATCTAATTTGTATAATTATATACTCTTTGCCATTTATAAAACATTTTCTAGGTTATATTATTTTTTATTTATGTTATTTCAATTCAGAACCTAAATTTGGTATGGATCAAAGGGACATTTTGTCGAATAGCATTTTCCCAGTTAACTATTTAAAATATTCCCAATCATTAATCGCAGTCGCAATCTGACTTTCGAACAGTGCACATCGAAATAATATTCAGGTAAATATATAGTTAAATTTGAATAAAGTGAAGTGAATAGAAAACAAGAACATAACACAGCGCATGTAAACAAACCCGTTTTTATAGTGAGCGAGCCCCGTTCGGAACGGGGACAATTCGAAAAATGGTGCAACGTTATAATACAATTTGGGTGCAATTTGAAGAAAACAAATTGCGACCCAATGCGAAAGAAATATATCTATGGATATTTAAGAGTTTAGAACATTTAGAAAACGAAATGATCGGTTATCAAACGACGCCGAAAGGCATATATATAAAATTCAATAAATTAGAGATTTGCCAGAATTTAATAGAAAACGGTATTGACAACAATAAGATCCCAATGGCAAATAACGAATATAATAATATAAAAATAAAATATGCAGATGACAAATTTACAAGAATTAGAGTATATAGAATTCCCTTTGAAACAAATAACGAGACAATTGGGTTGCATCTATCTAAATATGGTACTGTTAAAAACATTCAGAACGAATATGTGAGTAGCCCTAAAAGGAGTATAGATGATACGAATAAGAAATTTTTAACAGGAACAAGATTAGTGGACATGATTCTGGAAAAGCCCATTCCATCTTTTATTCACATTAATGGCGATAAAGCGTTAATTACATATTATAACCAGCCGAAAACATGTGCGTATTGTTTTGAAACAACGCACATAATCAGCCAATGTGAAAAAAGAAAAAACAGTGAAAATAAGAAAAAATTATACAGCGAAATAACAGGAAATAAAGATGGAGACGAAATATTATTACAAGACATAGAAATAGTACCAACAGTAAACCAAGAATCAGTACCAGTAGTTAACCCAGATATAGCAACAAACATAAATCAAAATAAAATAATAGAACAAAACGATGACGAGCCGATGAATATGGACATTATTGCAGAAAATATAAACACTGAAAATGATCCGAACTCCGCAATAATACTAGCAAGTATTATAAATGCGAATATTGATTCAGAAAAAACCAACAGAACAGAATGTAAAAAACATAAAACGATGATGGAAACACTAATGGACCAACACGAAAAAATTAGAAAAATAGTAGATAAAGTACCAATACCATCATTAAAAAATTCTAATGAATGTAACAAGGACAATAATTAGCCTTAATATTTGTGCTTCATATTCTGTTACCAAAATTAACATAATCAGGAAAATATTAAGAGACTTTGATGTAGACGTGGCGTGTCTACAAGAAGTACCGTCGAATTTAAAAATTTCATGTTTTGGTTATGATGTATTACATAATAATCAAAACATTGAAAGAGGTACGGCGATCATATACCGGAATACAATTGCTGTAGAAAATCCTGTATTATCAACTGATGGAAGAATAACATCAATCACTATTGACAAAAATAGAATTATTTGTATTTATGCTCCATCTGGAAGCAAAAATAGAAACATTCGAAATTTCTTCTTTGAAAATGATATACTGCCACATATAGTCGATAACAGTAGATTGATTTTAATAGGAGATTTCAATTGCGTGATAAATGCAAAAGACCAGCAAGGTAATTACACAAATTTCTGTAATGGTTTAAATAGATTAGTTCAACAACTAGATCTTAAAGATACATGGGAAAAGCAGTATGGAAATTTAGTGAAATTTACCTTCGTAAGACATTCTACAAAATCTAGGATAGACAGAGCATATGTATCTAAAAATATTGCGGATACAATTAAGAATACAGAAATAATTCCGGTAAGTGTTAGTGATCACCATATGCTTAAAATAAAATATATAACTGATTATAAATTACCAATTTATGGAAAAGGAATATGGAAATTGAATACAGAAACGTTGAAAAACTCGACAAATATTTTTCAAGAAATATACAATAAAAATAAAAATACATATAAATATAAAAATGACGTAATAAGTTGGTGGATTTATCAAATGAAGCCAACAATTAAAAGATTATTCAAATCGATGGCAATTGATGCAGCAAACATGAGAAGACAAACTATTAACAATATGCAAGAATTGTTAATAGATATGTCACAGAAAGAAAATAGCGGAGAAGATTTAACGGAACAAATTAGAGAATTAAAAACAAGGATCATATTAATGCAAAAAAAGTATTTAAATGGAACAATGATAAGAAGTAAAATTAAGACTATTGATGAATATGAAAATGCGTCGTTATTTAGTTACGCTAGAGATATCAAAAACAAAAACAGTTCGTATATAAAGGAGTTAAAAAATAATGAAGAAATATTTACAAAAACGAAAGACATTTTGGAACATGTTGAAAATTATTTTGAAGAAAGCTTTAAAATCCAAGATTCTTCAGAAAAACACCAAATAATGTTATTACAAAATATTACAAAATTTCTAACAACAACTGATGCAGAAGACCTCAATAAAGAGATAACAATCGATGAATTATGTGAGGTAATACAGAGTATGAGTAACAACAGGACACCAGGACCCGATGGAATACCATATGAATTTTATAAGTATCATATAGAAATCATAAAAAATGATTTTTTAAATATATTGAATAAAATTTTTCAAGATGTTAGAAATCAACGGCTATTCGAAGGGATAATCACCTTAATACCAAAAGGCAAAGAACATACTATAAAAAACTATAGGCCGATAACTCTTTTGAATTGTGATATAAAAATACTAAATAAAATTCTTGCTAACAGAATAAAGTTTAAAATTAGTAAAATATTAGGTAGTGAGCAAACATGTGGTATACCGAATAAAAATATCTCATATAATTTAGAAGGAATAAGATCTTCCATAGAGTGTTGTGATATAACGCAAAATGAAAACATGGGAATTATGAATATCGATTTCCAAAAAGCTTTTGATACGGTATCACATACATTTCTTTTCCAAATAATGAATAAAATGAATTTTCCATCAAAAGTTATTAATTTTGTTAAAAATTATTATAAGTTGTCGAAGTCAAAAGTCTTAATAAATGGATACACAACAAAAAATTTTCGAATTGAACAATCTATAAGACAAGGATGCCCATTATCAATGTTGCTATTTAGTATTGTTTTAGAACCGCTAATTAGGACTTTTCACAAAACATTAAATAGAACAAATCATATTTTTGCATATGCTGATGACGTGACTATAATTATGAGAAATATAAATGAACTGGAAATGATTAAACATATTTTAGAACACTATAAAAAAGCTTCAAATCTCACCATAAATGAATCCAAAACTAAAATTTTAGAAGTAGGAAATTGGAGAAGCAGGCAAATAAATACAAACATAGAAATAACTGATAGAATTAAGGTTTTAGGATTAACATTTCGAAGGAATTTGGAAGATACAACCATGGAAAACTGGAATAAAGTAAAAAATAGTGTCAGAAATATATTATATAACGGAAAAAGTAGATGCTTCAATCTGATTCAGAGAGTAAGATTTGTGAATATATATGCATTATCAAAATTGTGGTATATTGCGCAAATCTTAACTGCTCCAAAGATTATAATTAAAGAAATTCAGAATATAGTGAATGAATTTATATGGCAAAACCATTTATATAAAATTCAAAGAAAACAAATGGAAAAAAAGTATGAAGAAGGTGGATTAAACCTCATTAATGTAGAGAACAAAGCAGATGCACTTATCACCAGGAACTTTATAAAAATCATAAATGGAGAAAATTGCGAAAACAAAAATTTAATATTGAATTATATATTAAAAATAAACAATCAAGATCACATATTTCAAATTCCCACAGTATACAGAGAAATTATAAAGTTGGTGATAAAATATAATGATATAAATATCACAACAAAACATATTTATTCTGAATTGAATAAAATTATAATTATAAATCCAATTGAAGGGAAATACCCAGATCTGAATTGGAATATAATCTGGAAAAATATATCTAATAAATATATTCCATCTTTATGGCGATCCAAAACATATCTTGTATTAAATGAAAAAATTGCAACAAAAGACCGCTTATTAAGACATAAGATAACAACTGATAACAAATGCAATTTTTGCCAAAAAAATGATTCAATTCAACATAAAATACAAGAATGTGGAATGGCTGCAACAATTTGGAAATGGACCACGGAAAAAATCAAAACAACTTGTGGTATAGACTTACAAAAAATGGACATTAAAAATATTTTTGAAATCAAACTAAAAAATAGTGAAAAGCAAAGAGCTTTACTGTGGTTTGTTTCTGCCACAGTATGGTATAATTTGGAGAAAAATAAATC